CTCTGGGAATGTCCCACCAATATCCTCCCTGGTGGTCCAAAACTGGTTCCCATCCCTCCTGAACTGTCCCAGCTCCTCCATCTCTCCACCAATGTCCCTCTTGGTGGTCCAGATCACCCTCCTGACCCTCCTGGACTGTCCTAGACCATCCATCCCTCTGGGAATGTCCCACCAAGCCCTCCCTGGTGCTCCAGACCAGTCTCCCATTCCCTGGACTGTCTCCCTTCCCACTCCAGTCGAGGACAGACCCCATCCCAGTACAATCCCACCGCTCATCCCAGTCCCCTCCAACTGGTCCCCCCGAATTCCCGTTTGCTCCCCGAGCTCTCCATGCCCCGGGGGGTTGATTTTCCCCTCGGGATGTGCTCACTTGGGCTCCTCCAGCCTGGGATTCATGTTGGGCTCATCCCTCCCCATCCCAGCCGGGCGCTCCTCGTGCTCCTGCTCAGCCACGATCTCCAGGGTCATCTCCAGTTTGCCCTGGGGGGAACACGAACAAAACACACTCAGAACCCCAAAAAAAGAGGGGAGGGGTGAGAAATGGGGGAAGAAAATCCACTTGGAGCAAAGCCACCCACGAGGAAACCAGGGAGAGTCCAGAGATCCCTCGACGGGACACTGGGGATCCTCCAGGAGATCCCAAATCCCAAGTTTGGGAAACTACAGAATCACTGAGGTTGGAAAAGACCTCCAGGATCACCGAGTCCAACCTGTGACCAACAACCACCTTGTCAACCAGACCATGGCACTGAGTCCAGCCTTTCCTCATTCCCTGATTCCTGATTTCCCTGAACCCACCTCAGGGTTTTGTTTTTTTTGTGGAATGACCCCATTCACAGCCTGGATTCCTTTACCTGGATGGAAGCACCATCAAACCCTTGGACAGGACACGTTTCCACGTGTCACTGGGACACCTGGAGCCTTTCCCTGGTGCTCCCCGTGACGCGAGATCATCGGGAATAGGTGTGACCCAGAGTCACATTGGGTGGCACATTCCTAAATCCACAGCCAAAAAAAAACCCACAAACCAAGGGATTCCTCCTGAGGAGTTTCCACAGTGCTGGAAAACATCCAGCTGACCACAGAGGGGAAAATTCACAGCCCCAAACTTCATTTTGTGACATCCTGCGGGTGCTCGGCCCGGACACCTCCCTCCTCAAAGCTTCCAAGGAATCCTGGAATGGTTTGGGGGGGGGAAGGACCTGAAGGATCACCCCATCCCAGACCATGCAGATGTGGAATCCCACCCTCTGCCACCTCCCACCAGCCCAGGCTGCTCCCAGCCCCATCCAACCAGGCCTGGGACACTTCCAGGGACGAGATTCCACAATTTCTCCGGGTGCCAGTGGAGCACAGAGAGCAGGTGAACCCCCCAAACGTGGAGTTTTCCCCCCAAAATAACCCTTTTTCCCCCAAAAAACAACCCTTTTTCCCTCCCAGCCCGCAGGGAAAACCAGGATCACAAACATTCCAGAGCCAACATTCCTCCTACAGGAGGCCAACCAGGCCTTGGACGCCTCCAGGGATCCAGGGGATTGGGATTGAATCCCACGGGAAGACGTGGAGTGGGCTCCTCACCGCCAGGATCCTCTTGTGGTCCTGCTCAGCCCCACAGGGCCACCAGCCCTTGACAGTTTTCTGCTCGAAGAGGGACACGAAGTGGTTGGAGGACAGGGCGTCGTCCACCAGCTCCAGGGAGCACTTCTCGGCCGTCTTGGCGGGTTTGGGCATCCTGTTGAGATCCATCTGGATGGAGCCTGGAAGGAGGAATGGCACAGGTGGGGACAGCTCAGTGTAAAAGTCCTTGAAACGTGGCCTTTTTCCCTGAGGGTTCTTTCCTTGTGGCACCTTCGTGATCTCGGGGAGTTTGGGTCACCCAGACCCCCCCAGCTCCAAACCACAACCTCCACTATCCCAGATTGCTCCAACCTGGCCTTGGACACTTCCAGGGATCCAGGGGCAGCCACAGCTTCTCTGGGAATTCCATCCCAGCCCTTCACCACCCTCACAGCCAGGAATTCCTTCCCAATATCCCATTTAAATCTTCACTCTTCCAGTTTGAAGCCATTCCCTGTGTCCTGTCCCTCCCTCCCTTGTCCCCAGTCCCTCTCCAGCTCTCCTGGAGCCCCTTCAGGCCCTGCAAGGGGCTCTCAGCTCTCCCTGGAGCCTTCTCTCCTCCAGGGGAACCCCCCCAGCTCTCCCAGCCTGGCTCCAGAATCCTGGAATGGTTTGAGTGGGAAGGGACCTTAAATCCCACCCAGTTCCACCCCTGCCATGGGCAGGGACACCTCCCACCAGCCCAGGTTGCTCCAAGCCCTGTCCAACCCAGCCTTGGACACTTCCAGGGATCCAGGGGCAGCCCCAGCTTTTCCAGGCACCATTTTCCAGGAATTTTTCCCTTCCTGCTGCCCCGGGAAGGGACGGAGCCAAAAACCCTCCCCCAGCTCACCCAAATAGTCATCGAAGGAGAACTTGTCGTTGTCCCAGATCTGGAGGATCAGCTGAGGAGGGATCTTGTTTTCTGTCTTGTCCAAGCTCCAGAAATGCTCCTAAAAATCCCACCAGGAGAGAAAAATGGGGGAAATCAAAGGATTGCTAGAGGAAGTGGGCAGAGGAAGTGGTTCCTGTCTTCCCATGGAAATCCTGGCACTCCTGGTGTGTCCTGCAGGGTTGGAGCCACAGGACCCCTGTGGATGCTCCGTGGGAAAGCCAGGATGCCTCTGGAAGGGGAATTATCACCAGTTTATCCCTTAATTTACTGACAATATTTTAGCAAAGAGGCTCCCTCAGCTCTCAAATGGGATCCTTTGGAATGCCAGCACCGTATTCCCATAATTCCAGCAAGGATTGGTGACTCTCCAAGGGGAAGAGGCCACGAGTGTCGGGTGCCAGGGCTGCCAAACCTCCCCTTCCTCTTAATTGGTGGGAAAATAGAGGATTAACCCTTCCATTGGCACCTCTGGCAGACAATTCCAGCACATCCCTTCCCTTCTCCTCTCCCCTGCACAGCCTGGATCCCCCTGGATTTGTTTCCAGGGAACCTCTGGCTCCTGGATTTGTTTCCCAGGGAACCTCTGGC